TATGTAGATTAAGATTCGCACCAGTTTTAGCTGCCCATACTATGTTTTTCGTTTGTTTTGGACAATTTTTAGTAAGAAAACATCATAAAAGCAGCTAAAATGTGATCTTCAAATGCCGATATCTCCGGAACCGTTTGAGCTACACCGCCCAGATTTTGCACAGAGGTAGTCCGCATAGATACCTTAATCGTCTAAAAATATGAGAAGATTCGAAAAAAAAATTGTTGAAATGGTCCGAAATCCAAGTCGAAATTCAAGTAAGGAAGGTGCACATAGTTTGTGACATTTTCTTCGATGTTTTTCGAAAATAATTATGCTTCACGATAATTTAGTTACCAATTCGGCCTACATCTGTGCAAAATCTGGGCGGTGTAGCTCAAACGGTTCCGGAGATATAGGCATTTGAAGATCACATTTTAGCTGCTTTTATGATGTTTTCTTACTAAAAATTGTCCAAAACAAACGAAAAACATAGTATGGGCAGCTCAAACTGGTGCGAATCTTAATCTACATATGTCCCCTGCAATATGTATCGCGCCCAGCGAAATTGGTGTGTACCACCTAAAAACCTTCCCTTGTAAGACGAGGTCTAGCATGCGGGTATCAGATGATATCACACATTGCTAATTACTTTACCGGAGCGTGTTTATCCTTTCCCCAACTCCAGCCGCCCTGGCTGATGACTGCGCCGCGACTATCCACACAGCCGAGTCGAGGCGTTCGCGGCCGCCGGCTGTCCCTGCTGGAATCCGCTGACCGCTGCAGTTTAGGTCTGACCGAGTCCTGAGTCTGACTGTCTGAGGCCTGCTCGCTCCAGGGCTACCACACCCGCAGATATTAATTTCTCTGCGCCCCCTTTAGTATTATTATAGATCGCTTTGTTGTTTTTGTTTTGTCTTTCTTTGCCTCATCCCCGCGAAGCACGATTGTCTGCGAGAGATCGGCCAATCCATCCACTCATCTACGTGTGTATATTTGTGTGCGTGTATATGTGTGCGAGGTGCGTTGGTGCGTGTCTATAAAATAAATCTCTCCCCGGGCCGTGCAGCTCTAAATCGGAAGGATTTAAAACCGTTTTCGCAGCGAACACGGCCGGCCGCCCCGCCCCGCCGCGCGCGCGCCGCAGCAGGGGCTCTTCCCCCCTTCCCCCCTCACTTCCTCCTTTCAGCCCGCATCACAACACACCGACGCATCTCCGCGCGCTGCGGCCGCCAGTTACGTCGCGGGCGCCCCACGATTGTTTCCCCAACACGCTTCAATTCCCTCCTCAACTCGGCGCGCGCACGCGGGCGTGCCATGCGGCAGCGGCAGGGCGGCGTGGGCGCCCTAAAGCCCTACTCCCACCACCCCCCCCCCTCTCTCTCCCGTGATCCTCCCCTTCATATTTTCCGGAAAGAGAATTATTTCTATTTGACTAATTCCGTTGATTCCTGCTGCTCCTCCTTATCCCCCCCCTTCCCTTTGCGCGCGCGCGCAATTCCGATAAAAGGCTTACGGGGTAAATATCTTGACAAGGTTTGAATGCCGTGCCGATGGCCTGGTTCCGCCCCTGCCACTTTGTTTACGCCCTTCCCCCGGCTGTAATTCCCGAGGCACTTGTTGCCGCGAGGCGGGCGCGGCGCGATATAAAATCTCTGTGTGCAATGCTAATGCTCTGCATACATACAAACCGAGTCGATATTATTTATCCGCTTTTATTATCATCATCTTTCGTGTAACACGTACATGAAAGGCAGCAGTAGTGGCAGCACGACAAATAATAATTCGGTGCGCTATTTTTGTGCAACACCTGGGGGCCTCGCACCTCAGCAGCGACACACACATGGCATGCCGACGACACCTCTGCGCCCCCTCCCCCCTCCCCCGCCTCGGCCGCAGGCGACAGCTGCCGCCGCTGCTCGCCCGCACGCGCGCCGCCCCTGCAGGCGCCCCCCGCGGCCTGCCGCTGACAGTGACGCGATAACTTTGAGTCCCGGAGGCGCCCTCCTCCGCCCCTGGACAGCCGGGCGCCGCCGCCGGCCCCAGGCCAACGCCACGCCACGCCCAGTGCGACGGAAATAGCAGCCCGTTGGTGTCGAATGGGCTGCCTACCCCCCGGGCGCCGCCCGGTCCGGTCCTGGCCGTGTTTGTCCTTGTGTGTTATCCTGCCCACCCTCCCCTCCCTTTGCCGCGTCCTGCTCGTACGCCCCCGGCTCGACGGGCACGTGCAGGCTCCCGGTGCGGACAGGCCGGCGGGCTCATCGCGCTGCTCCCTTGGGAGCGGCGGCTCCCCCTGTCGGCCCGCAGGCCCGCACCCCCGAGGGGCGCCCGGCGCCCGCCCCGCCCCGCCCCGGGCCCCGCGAGGGGTTGCTCTATGATTAGGGCCGCCTGCGTACGGCCGCCTACCTGGCGCTGGCGGAGCGTGTCCTTGATGAGGGGGATGTTGTTGTTTGGGACAGCCGCGGGGCCCCGCTCGGCCCGGCCCGCCGGCCTCGGGTCGTTCGTTAACCGATTGGGCGACACGAGCTTCGGCGCCCACGCTCCCCCGGGGCCTGCGGGGCGGCCGCCGCCCCCCTGCTCGCTCGGGACCCTCTAGACCAGGATGTCCCGGAATGTCCCGGAGGCAGCTTAGTGTCTGGGCCACGGCAGTAACCCAGGCGTCCTGACGACACGTCCACCGCCTGCCTCCCCGGCGGCCTCCCTCTGGTGGCCCCCCTCTGCCGGATATTCAATACTATCATGAGAACTGCATTTTACGGGATTGAATGAAAACACATAGAATTCCCTCTAACGCTGATAACCTTGCAGCAACCCGGCCGGAGGGGGGGGGGCACCTCCACCCTCCGCCGCCCCCGCCGCCGGCCCCTCGGAGGACGCGGTGGCCTCCCTCTCAGACGACGGCCGTTAGCCGGACCCCGTCCAGGGCGGCGGCGGCGGCGGCGGCGATAACCCCCGTAATGGTGATGATGATGAACCCGCCGCCCGTCTCGCGGCCCCCTCCGGCCCCTCCGCCGCGCGCCCCCCGGCAAAAGGTTTGTCGCGACGCAATAACGGAAAGAAAACGATCCCCGCCACCCCCCGCCAGGCCCCGCCAGGCCACACTCTTATACGGCTTTTTGCGCGCGCGAGCAGCGGCGGTGGGGGGAAAAGCAAAGGCGTCCATAAAACGGAGCAGCCAGCGTCGCGCCGCGCCCCGCCGCGCCACACGGCACGGCGACACTGCCAGGGCACGACGCGACGCGAGGGGCTTTTGCCGCCAAGGCCAAGGCGTCGATGATAGCCGGGGTGGGGCGCGCCTCCGAACGCGCTCCAGGCCAGCGCGCGGTCGTGGCGACGGTGCTGTTTGTTTAGCAGAGGAATAGTTTGTTCGCGGGGTATGGAAGGGGTTGAGGGGGGGAGGGGGGTGCTGTCCCCGAGCTGACTCCCGCGCGTCTCACCACGCCCCGCCGCGGGGCGCCACGCGACATAGGGGAGGGGCCCGCGGGGGGGGGCGGAGGCGAGACGCTGTCGTCGGCGCCACAGCAGACAAGGCAGCTCACGACACGCAGACACACCAACCAGGTGACCAGCTGTCGGCTGCTAACCTGGAGGTGTTGCCCCCACCCCACCACGGCCCCACGCGACTCCCCGTAGGACTTGGGGCCTTTGGGAGGGGCAGCAGCACAGAGGGGGGCTGCTGGTCGGGGAGCCCCCGCAGCAGCCCGGCGGCGGGCGGCGTCGTGCCATCATACACCCGCACACCACGCCCCAACTTTACTTATGACATCCTGGAATGTGGGGCATAGGGGACCCTCACGGGACCGGCGCCCGGCCCCGCGCCGCCCTGGGAGGAGAGGGCTGCCGGCGCCACACCCACCCCCGCGAGCGTGGGCCGGACGTGTGTGTGTGTGTGCGTGTGTGTGTAAGTAAATGTGTGTGTGTGTGCAGAGCCTGGTAATTAAACCACGCTCTCCGCCGCAGCGACGCACCCAAGTCACACAAGCACACGTGTGCGTCCCTGTTGCGCGCGCCGCCGCCGTGCGGTATTTGTGATCGCACCGAGGACAAGTTCTACAAACTACTCCACGACGACCTCAGCAGCGCCGTCTCCGCGCGCAGAGAAATGACGTGGGGGCGGCCAACGGCGCGGGCACAACAACAAGAAGAAGAGGAAGGCACTGGCTCATATTGTGTTCGCCCGGCAGTATCACATTCGGATTACTATACGGAGCTCGATCGTCTCTACTCGGACTTCTTCATCACCAGTAAGCCGCGGCTACAGGCGGCCTTGTCAACCCTTTGTGTAGCGGATGCTCCTCGGGATGCCCGCCCGCCCCCCTCCGCCCTTACTACTGCATGTCCCCTATAATCCCTGCTAGACGCAACACACTGCTCCCCCTCCCCCCCACACGAAACCAAAACCAGCAGCCGCGGCCCGCGGCGAGCATGACGATGGTCATGATGATGACGGTTAGGGGAGAGGGGAGGAGGAGGAGCAGAAATATATATCCCCCCTCTCCCCCAAACGGATCCCCGCGGGCATGTGTTCCTCTGATAGAGAGAGCAGCGAGAAAATGGGGAACAGAAAAGAGAGAGAGCGAGAGGGGACGGGGAAGGGGGCGCTGGGGAGGACATAGAGCGGGAAGGTAGGTGCGGAGGGGGCGTGTCCCAATAGTAGATTCCCGCCAGCAGTAGCCCAAACGTGATACGTACTTAGTTCTGATTGCCCCTGCTGGCTCCAACCTCCTCCTCTCCCCGCCTCCTCCCTCCAACGCCTTGAGGCTCCTAGCAATTGCAGCGGACACTGCTGCTTGCACTTCCCTCCCCTCCCCTGCTCCCCGCGCCTCCATGGACTGGCCATTGTCCTTGCTGTGAATTGCGGTACGTCGGCGCCCTGAGCACACCCCTCCCCCACATGCATGGCGCTGGCGTCGTGCACTGATTCCCCCTCGCCCGCTCGCCTGCTGGCGCCGCGCGGCCCGGCCCCGGCGCCGTGTCCGTGACCCGGGCGGGGCTGGCATGTCGCCTCCCACGCCCCACACCACCGTCAACTGCGTTTGAAAGAAGCGCCACGGCGACGGCGACGCCGCGCTCTTCCGCGGCGGGCACGCGAGCGAGCCGGCTGGGCTGCCTACCCGCCCGGCGCCGCCGCGCGTGGCCGGAGCCCTATAGGACCCTTATCAGCCGCCCCCATCCCGGCAGCCCTGAATGACAAACTCGCTGGTAGTTAAATAATCATAACAATCAGGTGCAGAGTCCCACGGACCCCATGTCCGCCCGCCTCACGGTCCGGGGTGGCGGCCGGGCGGCGGGCGGCGCAGGGCGGGGCTTTGGCGGTGGCAGGCGGGGCGAGGCGCCGCCACTGTTTGAGGGACGTCGTTACCCCATTATTTATGAGAGTGACCAGCCCTCGGCCTGCTCGGCCCGGCCGGCCCCGCCACCAGCCGGAGGGGCGCTGGCCGGCCGCCCCCGCGCCCCGCCCTCACCGCATTCCTTTCCGGCCCGATAGACACCGGTAGGGCCCCGGCACAAGAAGGACCTCCCCGCCCTGGTCCCCTCTCTGCCGCCCGCCGTGCGCGCTGGTCAAAGGAGCGCCCCGGCGGCCGGTCCCGGTCCGGTTGGGGTCCGCGCCGGGCGTGGCGGCGTGGCGGCTGCAGATTCATAGTGGCCGGTCCGTGTTATCGGCCCACAGCCCCGCCCGCCCCGCCAAGCGCGTCCTCTGCCAAGGGCACACCCCACCCCGCCCCGCCCCACCCCACCTCGGCGCCCCTCTGGGGGCTTTCTTGAAAAACGAAAAGTCGCCCCTGCGTGTGCGTGAGGGCGCAGTGCGGGCAGGGCGCCGACGCAGTGCGCCCCTCCCTCCCTCACCACCGCGATAGTGTTTCACTTTTCTTTACGGAGGCCCTTCTCGCGACCCTTACTCGCACAACGTAACTATTCTCCACTGATCTCTCTCCGCGCCCCGCTCCCTCTCCCCTAGGCCCCTTCCCTCTTTCTCTCATTGTGTGGGCGTACAGTGAGCATTGGAGGGAAAGGGAGTAGAGGGAGGGTGAGAAAGGGGATGCTGAGGGAAGGGGCTGCCACCACAGCACACTGTACTGGCTAGACTGGCCTCGTCGCGTTTATTCCACTAGGTCCCCCGCCACACACCAGCACACGCACGCACAAACACACACACGCACGTAAACGGCGCCAAAGGACTGGGAGTCAGCAGGTCCGTGCGCGCGTGCAGGGCAGGCTCATTGCAGTGCGCCCCCGCGCGGCATACATCACCCTATCGCCCGCCCCGCCCCGCCCCACCTTTCGCTAATCCGTCTTGCAGCGGGCGAAGAGGACCGTAAGTCCGCCCCGCTGCCGGGGCTGTTACGACCCTCTCTCCGCTCCGCGCTCACGGGGTTGCGAGGGTTGCACGCTTTGCCGGTGCGGCGCACGCTTGCGAGACGTGTAAGAGTGCGTTGCGTTGCACGAGTGCGGCCGGGCGGGGCGGGGCGGGGCCGGGGATGGATGCCGGCCCGTTTTGTTCCCCTCCCCCTGCTCGCCCATCGCTCAGCCCAAAGCGAAACGAGCAGGGGGAGCAAAGAGGGGCGCGTTAAAAACACTTGACAAAGGAACTTGCGCCACGGCACGGGGGGTGAGGAAGGCGTCGGCGCACAAAACCAACAGCGACGCACCGTGCACGGTGTAATAAAAACATTTTCAAAATATGAGGAAGTACAAGTTGCGAGACGATAAAAGATACATGGTCATAATGAGGGGAATGACAGGGAATGCCCGACACGCACACTCTCGTAAATACCAACTTATGCATAATCAACGTTACCAAACAAGTGTAACAGATTACTTAAAGCTCATCTCATTATCCCAAGGCCTCGAAACATTCGCAATAACAGTTGTCTGCTTCAACCGTTTCACCTCGCCGGTGCTCCTGCTGCAGACAGCAGTTGACGTCCATAACCTCACCAGACGCAACCTCTTCAAGTTCCAACAACACCACCTACGTACCGTCAGTTCAGTCGTTTTCCGGGTATTTCCTCTCAAGAATCTTCGCTTCGAATTGAAACTCGATGGCACTTAATCACACATAAATGAATTCAAAAGTTAAGGGGCTTCGCTAAAACCAAAAACGCACTACACCACCGCGAACGCGACGTGCGACCGCGTGCGACGTCCGACGTCAACACCTGCACTGACTCTGACTGTACTCTGCAGCTGCAGCCAAAATCGACGATCATTCTGACAACTTAACAGAATCGGTTTGAATTATTCGCCATTATATTTGTGACCACTATTCAGACCTTTTTCAGATAAAAATTTGAAACAAATCTCAAACAATATAGTAAGCTTCACTGTACGTTCGTTGAATGAAAAATAGGAAAAATTTTAGTCATCGAACCAGTGACCGTCTTGAGTTCGCCGAGTTCGCGCGGTTCGCGTTCGCGTAAAATTGTCGAGTGAAAAGTTATCGAGTGAAAATACGTTTGGCTGTTTTTTTGTAAAGGTAACAGGGAAGAAAACTCTTACAACATTTCAGTGATAAAAGAAAGTGTTAAAATGGTGAAGTTGCAGTTATCAAGTGAAAAAGTGAATACACGGAACATGTTTTTGCCTTTGAAGGTTATGTGACTATGGTTCTCTTGGAAGATTGCGCAAGATGGAGAGAACCTGTGACTTCAAGAAAGTGTTAAAATCGTGAAGTTGCAGTTATAAAGTGAAAAAGTGAATAGACGAACAAGATTTTGCCTTTGAAGGTTATGTGACTTGGCTACTCATGGCTTGGAAGACTGAGCAAGATAGAGAGAACCTGCGACTTCAACCCTCAACGTTCGGCCTTAGAAAAGGTGAGTGTCGCGTTCATGCTATAGTAAATTTACTATAGTAGTATAGTAGCGTTTTACTATAGTAAAAATCTATAGTCAATTTATTCTATACTACTTCATATCATTTTCCTTGGTGTTGCTAGAAACAACTCTTGGGTCCAGTGTTAGGACACCTGTCAAATTTCATTTCAAATGGGAAATGAATTATTTTCCTTATTATCTTTAAAAATGCAGTTTGTATGGTGTATATTTTATCACAAAGTAAGGATCAAAATAGTAATACCCCGATGGTTACAGTTGCTGCAGTTTAGCTTGTGTATTTAGTTTCATGAATTCAAAATGAAGTTTCAATTGAACCAGTCAGCTGTGGATATGTTATCCAGACTTCAATTAGATGCCTTTCTCATCATTATTTGAAGTAGAAACAAATGGCTGGGTCGCTTCATGCAACTAAAGTCAGCGTAACTGAAGTTCACGAACTTCAATCATCGCTCATGCAAGTTCAGCAGAATTTCATCATAATTCGTATAGTTTATTTAAGTTTAAAGTTGAAAACAAATGCACAGAAGCTGAAGCCTTTGGCCGCTTTGCATTAATGTGTTGGTCTTAAGTTGCTTGGGCAGGGAATGCCAGCAGGGAATGCCAGCAGGGAATGCCGGCAGGGAGGTCATAGTGTCACCCCTCTGTGTCGTGTCGCCTGATGGCGAGGCAACCCGTGCAGAGAGGCGGCCATCGGCAGCCGTTTCGACGGCTACGTGATGTATGGCGGACGGCCCCAAGTTGTTACCCCCTTGGGCCCCGCGGGGCGGTGGAGGGGGAGTCTGCAACAGCGGGGCCGCCGGGGGGACGCACTATACTGTTTGGTCAGCGCCACACGCGGCGCTGCGGGGGTATAGTGCGTGCGCCGCACAGCGCCGCCGCCGGCCGCATTGTGCAGCCTTGCTCCGGCAATTTATGGTCCGGCCCCGCAGTGTGTGCCATTGCAACAGGAGGGGTGCCTCGGCGGGGG